GAGCTCGGCATTTAATAAAATGAGAAGTTAACTACGCCAGGTTTCACTCTACCCACAGGCTACTCGAAACCTTGATATGCAAGGTCGCTGTAGATATTTTCTCCGGACTAAACTGGGTTTGTGCACTACCGCAATCCACCTAAATCAATTAATCTTTAGCTTTTACAACTGCTTCACTTATCCTTTCGGGTCGCGGATACACACGCGTCAGACAATGCCTCCAACGTTTCTGACTCTGTACAAGCGTCTGAGCTTCGGCAGAAGACCAATGCAGTCTGGAACAGACTCCTTCCATATGTTTGCACCAGGTTAATCTTGGCCGTCCCCTGGGCCTTTTGCCGGTCGGATTTGTAAGGAACAGTTGCTTAGCCTTCCTTACTGAGATATTCGCCATACATGCCCAAGCAATCGCAGCTGTGACTTCTCAATCTGGAGAAGCAAAGGCTGTAATCCAAGGCTCTTCCGGACCATGTCGTGATGCGTAAGGAGTGACTCGTCTCAGAGAGTCCATTTCAGCCGTTTGTACCTAGATTCGAAGTTTTCATTCATGGTCCACGACTCACGACCGTAGGTTAGCATAGGGATAAAGGTCGATTTGTTTTCAGACTCAGTTCTGCTTTAATCAAAATAGTTGGGTCTAAATCAATTTAAATAGTTAATATAAGAAAACTACTTTGCTCAAGCATTATTGGTAGACTTTAACCAAAAACACCGCTAGATTCACGTGAGAACTTTTCTGAAATAACATCTACTCCTTATGAAACATTTTATTACCGAAAATGATACTTTACATAAAAGATACTCTACAAACTATGAAACTAAATAAACTGTTGAACTGCATAAACCAACTGCATATATTTAGATCGATTCTAATATACTAACGAATAACGACTGTTGAAACAAACTGGAGAAATGCATCACTCCCACAGATGATGCGAGACGAGTCTTGCCCACAGGTGTACCACTAAACTGCAGAGTGAATTAAAAATTCCCAAGCATATAGGAACAAATGGGCAAAGCCACAATATCCTCAGTCGACACAATGGTGGGATTGTGCATATCATGACACAAAAGAAAACAGCTGGTTTCTTGTAACCTTCGGGTTTTTAAAAAACCAAACGCAAAATGAGGGTTGCCTTATCTTACAAGGAATGCTGTTAGACATTCTAAATATTCATCGATGCTTTTTGTCATTTTCTTTGTTACATATGAATCATGAGCACGTTCTCTCTTTGATTCTGCTAGATTTACCAACCTCGGGAAAACAGCAGTCGCCGTCCAGAGCCAAAAGCTTTGTTCATATCATCATTTCTTAGAAAACTTCGAACTCCCACTGAGTGTTTTCAGACCAGCCTAAAAAAGAAACAGGTTATATAAAATATCTAGAGTTTTAAAAAAAATTTCAGTAAAACTTTTGTTCAGAACTAGCGGTTTTCGCTTAGAAGCTTAATACAGCTCTAAGCCTTGCCAACATATCAGCAAGAATTAGTACCCCTGCGAATTTCATCACAACAATGAAGGAAAATTCAGCGGTTAGAGGGCAACGTAGGTATAAACAGATATTCATATCAGCTGCTCAAACCGAATTATTTAGGAAGAGCACCGACTTTTGATAGATAGTCCCTTGGGAAAAAGGAACTGTTCTAAACACTATATATCTGCAGTGGATATGTGCTTTCAGACCTTGGAGCACTGGCGTGTTCAAACCGTTCCTTCGACATTTTGAACTAAGGAGGCATAGATGGAATGAAGCTGCGTACTGTAAACCTCTATGATGGGGAAAATCTGCTATTTCTTAGGGGAAGACAAATTTCGTTTAACCTTCCTACTTCTGAGAACCAGTTGACACTGCCAAACTAGAGTTACGTTTTAACAGCGCATTATGTATATTACGAAAACTTCCATTGAAAAATAGGAGATTTCCGTATCTTTAAATGCTCGTTTAAATCAATATTACAGTAAAAAAATGACGATACATGTCATCGCACCTCGCTATACAGTATGTAGCAAGGACCATTTGCTTCTAGACACCTACCGGGACATTTAAGCAGGTAATGGCTCCAGAGCGCAACGATGGACGGATGCAAAGCATCACTGAGTAGGATTCGAGCCAACCAGGCACGTCCGCAT